CCCCAAAACCCCAAAACCCCAAAACCCCAAAACCCCAAACTTGTCCAGATAAATTGAAAAATAAAATCTTATAATAATAAATGGAAAGTACAGCTCAGATGGATACGGAAAGAACCTCCAAGATTGTCAGGTAATTGGGAGCTTAATAAGAGTGGCTATTGACATGCAAACTTCCAATTTAATGATGTGGCATATTTAGGAGAGACAGAACAGTCCTTGCCTCATAATTTTACTTTGTTTATAAACTTGTTTATTAAGACATATCAAGAAGAATTCTTATGCTAGTCAAAGTTTCCTGGCAGTATAAAATTTGCTTTCTTTTCTGTTCGATTAGATCAAAACTCTTCATATTATGGCTGGAATGTAAGAACGATTGCATTTAACAGTTTAGTAAATATTCTGAGTTAAAATTATTTTACACCCTGAAGGGAACTAAAATTTCTCAGCTGAAATCCGACTATTGGTTTTTCTTCGATTAGGGCTCTTGAAAACTGAAATTTAGCATTCTTCTTCAACCGAATGAATACTTTCCTTTGATTCAACTCTAATTTTTCCTGATGGATTCTGATATAAATCCAAATTTTTCGCTCAATTTAAATTATCTAGACTAGAGAAGTCTATCCTGGCCATGAATAAGAAGCAAGATTATGAAAGATGCTTCGATGTTCATGCTAATATTCCTGCACAACAAATGGATGCTAAGCCATTGGGTCCAAACAACCAAAATGGGATAAGAGGTGGTGAATTGTGGTTGAGTTTTCGTGATAGTATGAATGTGAAATTTTCACGAAAACTAAAATTTTGAGCATTATTAGATACAGAAACACTCAGATTATATAGCATCCATATAAAGAATAAGACAGTTTTAGGATTTTGAGCTTTCTCATTTCCAGATCAAGTTGAAGAACTTTATATATCTCCCTCATTTAAAACAAAGCCGGATGATCGCACTTACTTTAACCTTTTAATTAGAAATAGTTTTAAAGTAACGTGAAGAGTCTCTCTTAACGAATTAAAATTAAACCTGTATCAACTGAAGCGATTGATGGCAGCTTACAGACATGTAAAGATACTAGGATTTTATTCTTGCAGGTTGTCAATTCCTCATGTTCCAGATTTATCAAAAGCATTAACAAATTGCCAGATCAAAACCCTGTCTTTAGCAAGATCCATATTTGTTAATATAAATGATAGAGGAAGCAATCTTAATGGATTTAAAAATTTATGACAAGGATTGTCAAACTCATCAGATTTAAGATCTAGCCTTTGGATGGTTTCTATTAAAGGATGTCGCATAAAGCTAAAGAACGCTAGAGAGATTTTCGAAGAAACCCAACTTGGAGGAGTGAAGATATATGATGGACACGAAGACCATGATGAACCCGAAGACCATGATGAACCCGAAAACGATGTTGAATTTATAAGACCATGCCGAATTAGGAGACTATAATGTATTATCTCTTGTAATCAATTTGGCTAACATTATACGGGGTTTTGGGGTTTTGGGGTTTTGGGGTTTTGGGG